ATAAAATAATACACACCTACTATATATATATATATTGTGTGTGTGTGTGTGTGTGTGTGTGTATAAAAATATACACACCCCGGATATATTTCTCAGCAAAGCCATTGTGATCACTATGTTGCATGAGTAGAATTTAATACTTCAACTATATCTCCCTATATAACAACATAATTATCACAATGACTTTGCCGAGAAATACATTATGTGTGTATATTAGAACGCAATGGTTCAGGGTTAAAGCAATCAAACGTAATACTATGTTTATAGCAAAGTACTACAATATAATGCTATTTATTTTATATACAATTATTGTAATGCAATATAATCGCCACAATGGCCCTGCATTTTATAGTGTATGTATATATATGCGTGTGTATATAATATTGGATACACATATATATGTAAATACTACTATCCAGTGTGTGTATGTGTCCAGATAGAAATATCATACCCCTTTAAACAGTTCTCGAATTAGAAATAGACACGTTCTCTCATGCTCTTTAGAGCTGGTAACCATGATACATTCATCTTCAATCAACAGTTTCCACGAAGGTTGGTTGAGTTCAAAAGCGTAACCCGCGGTAGCAGCAACACGGTGTTTCCATTGGCAATCTCGCCAATAAACGCCTATGTAGCCCCGTCCTTTTATCAACATTAACTGTAATAAAACGAAAAATCCGAAGCTCTCGGTTTAAAATGTGCTATTCTTTAAACACCGTCACGTCCACGTCTTCAAACCCTGGAGTTTATTCTCTCTCTCTAGCTGGACTGCAAAACAATTCATAGAAAAGAAACGATTCCAGCGGTGGCTAAGTCACCTCCCAGTGCAACAGCAAATGTTGGATCAAGGGAAAGATTAAATGTGAGGCTTAAATAGGCAACACACACTCACATATGAAGCTAAGGCGAATAGTGAAAGGAATAGTGACCCCTGGGCTTGGGGGGATTGCACCAAGCCCATCTGTTGGCCACACCTGGCTCCGGTGAACCCTCATCTTTTTAAATACCGGGTGGAATCCTGGTCCCACGGAGGTCCAGGGGACTTGAATGGGGCCGGGATTTCATCTCTCGTCCTGCCCGGTCGGAGAAGCTGCCCCAGCGCTTCGGGACAAATAGCTGAGCGTGCCCCTGTTCTGAGCCAAAGACTCGTTTGGCTAATTCCCCGGCTACGGAATCATTGCCGCGGGAGCCTGGCTCCCGGGCCGGAACAATGGGCGCCGAGGTGCGCTTGCCTGGACGCTGCTGTCAAACTGGCAACGTCTGGCACCGTCACCTCTTTTCTGCTCCTTTATTCCTGCCCCCCTTTTCCTTTCCCCCTCCTTTTCATCCCTCTTCCCCCTTTTCCTTTCCCCCTCCTTTTCATCCCTCTTCCCCTTTTCCTTTCCCCCTCTTTTTCATCCCTCTTCCCCCTTTTTCCTTTTCCCCCTCTTTTTTCATCCCTCTTCCCCCTTTTCCTTTCCCCCTCTTTTTCATCCCTCTTCCCCCTTTTCTTTCTTTCTTTCTTTCTTTCTTTCCACCCCTCCCACCACTTTTCTTCTTTTTTCCATCCCTCTCCCTCTCTTTTTCTCTCCGTCCCTCCTCACTTTTCTTCTTCTTTCTTTCCACCCTTCCCCCAGTCTTTCTTTCTTTCTTTCTCCCCCCTCTCGGCCGGGCAGTCCCTCCGCCTCGCAGGGGTGCCCCCACCCCCCTCACCTCCTCTCCTCTCTCCCCCAGGACGATGGAGAGGCTGCCGGCGGAGCTGCCCCCCAGTGACCCGCGGGATGCCCGCCCCCCCCAGCAGCACGATCCGGGAGCGGAAGGCACGAGCGAGCCGGAGAGCAGCCGCGGGGAGATGGAGGTCCCAGGAGAGCCCCAGCTGCTGCTCAATGGGGTTTCCAAGGAGACCGGCCGGCCCTCCCCCGGGCCCCCCGCCGCCGCCGTGCCGGTGATCGAGCTGGTGCGCAGGGACATAAAAGGCCGCGAGGCGCCCGGCGAGGCGATGCAGAGAGCGCCGGGCGCCGAGCCGTGCAGAGCCCCGGCCGAGGCCGCCTGCGACGCCCGCATGGTGCAGCTGAGCCCCCCGGCGCTTCCCCTGCCGGCGGCCGGCAGAGCCATGCTCTACAACATCGGCCAGCCGCTGGCCACCATCAACAGGTCCGTGCCCTGCCCGATCTCCCCGTCTGTCCCCGGGAGGCTGTCCGGCTTTTTCTGTCTGTCTGTCCGTCTCCTCACTCAGTGTCCTACAGCAGCATCCGCGCCCTGTCCTATCCTGAGATGAAGTCTTTAGTACCGTTTCTTCGGAAAACTGCAGGATTATTTCTCTTCTTCTCTCTCTCCGACCTCTCTCTGTCTTCCTGTCCTGCACGTATCTATCTATCTATCTATCTATCTATCTATCTATCTATCCCCGTACACCCCATCTATCTATCTATCTAATCATAAAAACCGAAGTTCATAAGGACAGGAGGTTGTCTGGCAAAGGAACCTTTCTCTATCTGGGCATGTAATATTTGTGTGTGGATAATTGTGGGACAGTTTGTATGTATGTAATTTTGCAAAGCAAAACATCTGTTGTAGACCTTGGAACAAGGGTAAAATATATATATATATATATATATAGCATACGTTAAAATTATATTAAAATGTAATATTTTAAATGCAAAGGTGTAAACGTAGACAGTGCTATATTTATCGAATGGGCAATTTTTTTGTTTCCTTGAAGAAATCTCTCAGCTCTTTGCACTGGGTGAGATGTGTGTGACCCTACAAATAATCATGACAGTGGGAAGAAATTCCTTCAGAATATGCATTGTATGTAGTGTGTGTAAATAAATATATATACACACACACACCCTACAATGCAGTTATATAATGCAATTCAATTCCATTTTCTCTCATTCAATACAAATTAATAATAGTTCAGCATATGTGTGTTATATATCATCTAGAGAAACCTGTTCTAGAGATCAGGTGGCCTGCTGTCTTAAAAGACATGCCAGAAAGTGCACATAAAAGTATTAGAATTCTATCACATTGATTGGAAGACCTACACATTTTTATCCT